TCCGGCTCGGACGCGATTCGAACCCACTGCCCCTAGTTACTAGTTGGTCACTGGCTATAATTGAAATACGAGTTGTAATCCGCGACAACGGGGAATTTATAAGTTAATAAAAACTAATGAACGAAATTCCATCATTTTTTTCAGCAAACTCGACCGTGATGCACATCAGCAATTACTGTTTTGATCTCCAGATAAATCACTCTCGACGAAATTGAAAAGAGACCAAAAGAGGTGTCATTCGACCGTCTTCTCCCTACGTTTGAGGACCAGTGATAATAATAGTCGAAAACTTTTCCCCATCTTATGTGTTTAATACTTGGAATTGATCCAAAGTCGGCTGATGATAACCGCCAATGGTTAGATCATTTTGTAGAGCGCCGGAAGGTTGAGAGTTCAAGCCCCGAAGCGGACTAGTAATCATGATCACGGTCTTAAAATCACTGAGGAAAATGTGCTACCTTTGCTAAGACATCTGGAATTGGTTAGAAATTTTTGTCTTCTCGGATGAGGTCGAAAAAACCGTAGGCTTCTTCTCCTGCATCTTATCTGTACTCGTTTACGGTGGACGTTAAATAATTCATACATTTATCGCAGAAAGTAGGGGACATAGCTTGCCTTAATTCTTATAATGGGGGCATCTGAAAAACTTTTCTGCAAGAATTGTAAACTGTTCAATGCAGTCTGGCCAGAGTCCCAAGCAAAACTCTGTAAAGCGCCATGAGCCATTGGCTATGCTATAGAAATATTTTATAATTATCAGTATGTCTCTATGAACATCTATGAATCTCACCTGTGCAATTCCGACCGTTCCCTTGATAACCTTTTATACAGTTGCACGTAAATGATCCCTCGGTATTATTACAAACAGCTTTGGCATGACAGTCGTGAGTGTTGTCAGTACACTCGTTTCTATCTAAACAAAGAAAACAATGAGGACTGATATGAGCTTATCCGCAAGCTGGATCAAGAACCTTCACAACATTAAAACGAATATTAGTGAGACCTTTTTCACAGTTTTCTCCCGTGTAATTATCTGGACACAGGCAAATATATCTCTTGTCGGTATATCCATTAAGACAGGTGGAATCATGGAGGCAGGGATTACTGGAGCACGAATTCTGATAGGATAGAAAAACGCCTGTTAGCAACTATACTTGATGAAAAATATCCAAGCTGATTTTAGACGATTGTATTGTAATGTAAAAAAAA